ATGCAGGCTCGTCCCACACATATGTTTAGCTACAAGGGAAGCTGTGAGTTTGTGTTTCAAGGGTTCCAAACAGCAAGAGCATCTCCAAGACGCTGAGCACCCAGAAGATGTGATAAAGGCACCCCCCCAGCAAGGAGGGGTCTGGCCAGAAGCAGCCACCAGTGCACAGTGACGGTAGTAAGCAGTTGCACCATGTATGTCCCTCATCTTTCAACACTGGAAGACCTTGGATGCCTGTCATCGGCCAACCTTTTATTTTGCCCAGTAAGGCATTGAAACAGCAGCAGAAACTACTACTACAATCCACTATCATTATCAGTCACCATAATAAAGGATGTTTTAATCTCAGGTTAAGGAATAGTTATTTAATTTGCATAAATATGGCTTAAGAAAATCCTCAGCCCGCCATCCTTATTTCTCTCGTTCTGCATGTACAGGCGGCAGCTTCATCGGGCCAACGAGCACCTGCAGGCTGGCCCTGAGGGCCACTCCCTGGGGACCACCGGCTCTGTGCTCTAAACAAGGAGGTAACTGAAGGTGGATGCGGAGCAGGAAGGGACGTGAGTTTCTATCCTGGTGGCCGCGTGTGGGGTGATGTGAGGGGACAAGGCTGGTGTTGCAGTTATAGGGCCGAGATGACAGTGGCCGGGACTGAAGTAGCAACCGTGGAGAGGGAGGTGGCCAACACGACGGGTGGACGTGTCGGGCAAAAGTCGGCAGGGAGGCCGTTGGGGTTTCTGCAGCATCTTCTTCCTCCTCTTCTCGCGCCTTCCTCCCAAGGCCTTTAGACTCAGGTCTGAGGTCTCCAGCTACGCCTTTGATCCTATTTAGAGCCAAATCCTGGATTTGCTCGCCTGTCCCCACACCCCACGTCTGCAGCTTCCTCCACTCCTCCCGACTGCAGCTCTGAAGCCCCCTCTCCCAGCCTGGTCACTCCCTTCCTTGACGCTGGGGCCTCCAGTCCTGAGACCCAGACACACCCTTGGAGACCACCCGCCCCTGCCCAGTCCCATTCCAGACTGAGCTGATTCTCCCTCTGTCCCCGCATCCTGCCCCGCCACTGCTGGGCCTCTCAGGTGTCGTCACACCCTCCTCTGAGGCTCCAAAGCCTCCCCTCCCTCTGAGCACACGCAGGGAACCTAAGTCTGAGGTCAAGGACAGTCACTGCAGGCGCGTCTTCCCGTCTGTCTCAGTCCTTTGTGCGACTATCACAACATATCACAACATCTCTCATGGTTCTGGAAGCCGGAGGTCCCCGATCAAGGCAACGGCAGGCTCGTGGCAGATGCGGTTTATGCTGCAGCTCAGCTCTGGCAGTCTGTCTGCCCCCAGATGAAAATGACATCGAAAGTTGTCATGTGAGGACACTTCAAAAGGTCATGGAAATATGAAATTAAAAGATTATACGAATCTTTCCAGGAAGCTTTTGAAGAACCCCTCATGTATATACATTGCACGAACATATGGATAGTTTTAAAAAAGTAAACCAATTGAAATGGAAAATTAAGACAGATGACTTTAGATATTTAAAAAGTCACAGGCACAACGGATTAATTTCTTTAAATGTTTCTTCTCCCCCATTAGGTAGAATATTAGATCGGAGAAGCAAAGCTTTAAAAATACCATTCTTGCTAGCCTCGAGCAGAAAATACTAATACTGTACAAGCAATTTAAAACAATATGTACAGCAAACCTGGGTGACTTCAGTTTCCTTAGGATGAGCTTTTTTTTTTTTTTTTAAATAAGGGAAAAAAATTACATCTTTATTTTCATTAACCTCTAATTGAACAGTAGCATTTCTTCAAGAATTATATTAGAATTGGTATTAGAAGTTCCTGTAATTTGTCAATGATAGAAATCACAGGTATTTTTATATCCACTAATGTTTTTGCAGATATATAAATGCTCATCACTATTTTGAGTTTCTGGTGGATATGAGACCAACTACTAGACTGTATTATTTAATACATAAAGAAGCACATATATTACCACATCACAATTTTTAAAAATCTTTGGTAATTATATGTAAATATAATTGCTTTAATTTGTGGTTGCAGGTTGGTTTTATTTTTATTTTTTAAATGCATTTACATAATTCTAAGGAGTCCATACCCTTCATCAAACTGCCATGGTGCAAAACAGGTTACGCGTTCATTTTGCTCTATTTTACATAAAACCAAATTTTATTGCAACATAATCATGGACCATTCTGACTGTTTTCCTCTTAATGGGTCATTAAGAAATGTTATTGCTCTTGATAGTAGGCACTTGATTGAGCTCCATCCCTGTAATGCTCCTCTTCAACCTCTTAAATTCTAAGCTGGTTTTGATGCATTCATTGAAGTTTTCACTTATTTTTTTACATTGATTATAAACACAACACGAAGCCCATTCTACACACTCCAGTAACTAAAGCCCTCACATTTTGAGATGCATTTCTAGCAGAGACAGGACCATTTCCCTTGTGCCTCACACATGGTCTGCACCAGGCTCTTGGGATTCAGAGATGAGCTAAGACAAGGTCTCTGTCCTTAGGGAGGTCAGTGTGTGACCCCGCCAGGTAGAGGAGGAAGAAAAGGTGTCACAGCCCAGGGAACAGCATAGACGAAGGCAGGGAGGTTTGCAAAGGGGAGGTGATTGAGGGGGTGCTGCAGGAGGTTGGTGTGTGTGACGGCAGGCACGGGGCGGGTACAGCAGGAAGCATGCCGTGTCCTGTGGACGGGGGAGGACACAGATGGTGGCAAGGTGGACTAGAGGAAGGGCGTTGGAGTAGTTTGGCCAAAAAGAAAAAAAAAGAAAGAGATGAGAGCAAGGGGGCAAGAAAAGTTCTTAAGTCCAGTCTCAGCAGTAGGAATGGTTGGGAGAGTCATGGGCTGCTGGGATCTGGTGACAACTGGTGGGGAGGAGTCCCAGGACCAAGCCTGGGTTTGGGTGCTGCTGTCAAGTGACATGAGGGGGTGGGGGGTTGAGGATTACAAAACAAATGATTTGTCACATGTCCCATTTGATTTGACTGAATGACAGTCAGGTGAGGGTCAAGGCAAGAAACTGACCAGGCACAAAATTGTCCTCTTCTCCAGAAACCAGAGCACATTTTCTTTCCAACTACATCTTTTTCCCTGAATATTTAGTCTTATAGGACACTGTAACTTTGTTAATTATCATTGCCAATAATATCAGTGTCAAACTCAATATCAGTAAAAGACCGCAGGTTTTAACGGAGCTTCTTGAACTGACTAGAGAATATTAGAAAGAAAAATTATTCATATACAGACTGGTACTGACCTATTCTAGACTTGTGTGGGCCAAGAAAAAAAGTGTGAAAAGGCTGTTCTAATCTTTACCTGAAATAATCCACACGTGGTCGGTATGTTTCCCTTTTAAGAGCAAACCTCTTTCCTCTCTGCCTTTTATATTAAAATCACAATCTGGGTACACCGTGCCTGAGATCACTGGGAGAAACGCCAGCCGCTGTAACAAACCACCCTCAGATTCTCAGTGGTCTTAGGATAGTTTTATCACTCTGGTCACAATCTGATGAAGACGATGCTGGACAGAGAACCTTCTACGGGTCACTCAGGGACCTGGGGTCCTTCTGTCTGGCTCTACTTCATGTTTAGGTCCTCAGAGTTCTTTCTGTTCAATTGGAAGAGCGGAGGATGGCCTGGAAGACTCCCTGGACCGGGCTCGATGGTGGCCCCTATCATATCGCTCACCTTCCCAGCCACGTGGCCACACCTAACTGCAAGGGAGACTGGGAAATACAGTCCAGCAGGTGGCTGGGGAACATGGGTTTTGGTGGAACAGAAGTGGTTTCCCCTTTTAAGAATGACCTCCCTCCGCCCCTCTGGCCTTTGCATTGGGCAGGGGGCACCAAGATGGATCGAACTGGAGTCCTTCACCGTTCTTCCCAGGCAGGCCCACCCAAAGGCCGAGGCACGGGAGGCAGTGTGGGGGGTTGAATCGTGCCCCTCAGTAAGTACGTCGAAGCCTGACTCTCGCTACCTGTGAATGTGAGCCTACGTAGAAATAGGGTCTTTACAGACATTATCAAGTTAGGACGATGTCATGCTGGGTTGGGGTGGGCCCTTAATCCAATGACTGCTGTCTTTATAAGGACAGAGAGATTTGGACATGGACAGATGGCCTTTTGACACCTTACTTCAGACTTCGGGCCTCCACAACTGCAAGAGAATACACGTCTGTTGTCCTAAGTCACCCAGTGTGTGGCATTTTGTTCCAGCAGTCCTGGGCTAAAACCCTCGCCTCTCCTATTAGCCTTGTGAGTTATGGGCCTGTCCTCAACTGCACACTGGTGTGAGGCTTAGCTGGCACGGCGCTGACAGGGCTAGAGTTAACCTGTGCGCAGAGGTAGATATTGTCATGTTCACAAAAGGCTCCTGCTCCTTCAACAAGCCCCAGCCCCACGGGAGGGTTCGGCCTCTTCTTGTCCCACGCACCCTGTGTGGCCTGCCTTTGGTCTAGCTGGTCCTACTCAGCCTTTGGACCTTGGATCAAAGTCACTTTCTCAAGGAGACTTTCCACGAGCCCCGCCCCTCCCCAGCACTGCCAGGTGGGTCGGTCTCTGTAAGCAGCTTCCCGAGTTGTCAACATTCCTTGAGCATGATCTGCTGTTGTTCGCTGCAATCAGCACCTCAAGGACGATGCCCGGCACACAGAAGTGGCTCGGTTCTAACCTTCACATTGTGAGATTGGGGCTGCCGGTTCCAGGTGCACAGACCCAAGAAGGCAGCAAGCCATGCACCCGCTTCCCTCTGCGTGCTCTGGGCAACACTGACTCCTGTCTGGTTGGCAATGACCGAGTAACCCGTGTTTTGAGAGCAATGACGTTAATAGCAAGTAGACACAATGCCAATTGTCACGCTGTCATCGAGGGGTGACTGTTTAGCAGAGGGAGCCATGGGTCTATGCATGATATTTAACGCTAGGTTTTATTTAAAGTTTGATTGGGTACAGAAACACACACACACACACACTTATCAGGTTAAAATATCCAAATAAAGTTTACTGCAACTTTTGTAGAATTTAATTTGTGCTACAAGTCATGTTGCATAGGAAACTATTTAAAGCCCCTGAGGAAAAATATTCATGGTTTAAGGTGCAACTGGTTTTGTTTCTTCTTTGGGGAAAAGGTGAGAGATGATCTCTGGGAAAGATGATGGCGAAGTGTTGAGAAGCAGAATTTCAGGTTATTTTATGCGATGGCTGGAATCGTGTGCCCGGTTCTTGCAGCAAAAATATCCAGCATTTGCTTCTTTCTTCTGTTGGTCTTCAGTGTCTGAGTCAGTAGCTACGTACAATGCTTCAACCCAATAAGGGATTATACACTGATTATACTGAGTAGTTAACTAGTTTCAAGAAAGCAGCTTTAGAGACTGAGATTCAGGGATGCCATGTGACTTGATACCACGTTAGACAGAGTGCGTGTCCTGGCCCATTGCCAGGGGTCACCTCACTCTGAGACTTGCCAGGGGACAGTTCTGCCTCCTGCTCCCTCCCAAGCTGCCACAACTACAACGCGATTGCAGAATTGAACCCAGCACACCCGCACGGATTCCCCTGACCTCTGATTAATAGCCCTGATGGTTATTCATGCAACCCTGTGCTGCGTTCCCGATTTTATCTGGGAAACATTTTCATTTTTAGAAAGCATTCGCCCTGCTCAGATTAGCTTTACATAATACAAAATAGTTTTCCCTACACTGTTTCTGAGGGGACACAGGTACACCAGGAAGGGGTTAAACCTCAGATAAAGTGAAATGAGAGTTTGGCAAAGGGCAGCTGGTGGAGACGCTCGTGAGGCCAACCACGGTGTCCATGACGGGCTCAGGGTCAATGGCCACGAGGGCCTGACTCGGTGGTGCAGTTTCCTCTGCTGCAGAGGGCAGTGAGCTCTGCAGGAAGCATCCCCTGCCCCCGGGAGAAGCAGTACAGTGGCCTCCTCGAGCCACGGGGAGCTCTTCACACAAGTGACCTTGTCACATGGGCAGGGGCCATAAAGAACGTCAACTCCCAGCTGCCTCCTCCTGCGTTGGCAGAAACACCTCACTGGGTACCTACTTGCTACCGTGGGATTGAACTCTGCCAACTCCAGCTCACGAGACAGTCACACGTCCTGTGGACGAGCATGTGCTACGGCGTGAGGCTTGTGGGGAGCAGAACCTCGGGCCTGCTCAGGAAGAGTGGGCGCCAGCTGTACCCCTTTACCGCAAAACCACTTTTCCCGTTTGATTTGCCTTTTTACAAGTAGGGAGTGAAAAAGGGCCAACACTCAGACAAGCCTCTTTCTGTGCTGAATGTTGAAATGCAAAGTACGGCCGAGAATCAGAAATGCCCCCGTGACCTTTAAATACCTATAGACATCGCAACGTAATTTAAAAAGGTCTTTATACAACATGAAAACCTCAACAGCATCTGCCCCTGTTAAGTGTTTGGTTTTTTTAACCTTTGTGGTTCATTAAAAAATTAGATACAACTTTTCTCATATGGCCCCTCACCCCATTTATTAAAAAAAGTGATTTTAAATGTAGATTTGTAGTTAACAGATAGAAAGCTATTTGATTGGCAACGACCTGCAGTAGAAAATCCTTCGAGCCTACCCCTCGATGGAGGGGAAGGACTGACGGAGCATCACACGTGCCAGTCCTCGGGTGTGGGTCCCGCTGGCAGACCCTGGCTCTGTCTGAGCAGCCGTCCCACCCTCCTCAGTGCCGTGGTGATGGCGCGGGCACCCTGGGCAAGTGGTGGGCTCATGCTACAGCGCAGGAGGTGGCAGGGAGCCTGCTCAAATCACAAAGTCGTCGTGGTCTGCAGGGCTGAAGGCGGCTGCTCTGAGAATGTCCAGGGAGTTCACCAGGATCAGAGTCCCTGTGAGGTGCTTCCAGCGCTTGGTGATGGGGTTTTTCATCTTGTCCAGGCCTGTGTGCAGCTCCTGGATGACGTCCCGATAGCTGTCCCCGATCTGGTGGCTCCAGGTGAGTAAGAAGTCATACGCGGGCTTCCACATGGCCTGGGTGTGGGATAAGAGAAGGAAGGAGAGGGGAAAAGATGAGGGGACAGTGAGGGAATTGTTCCCATTACCCGGTCCAGCTCCTTTAGCCACTGTTTATGACACTCTCGAGAGTGAGACAAGCCCACAGAGGAAACAGGTGGGACCATCCCCGGGCTGTGACAGCACAACGCAGAGGGAAGAACGAGCAGGCGTGCAGCAAATGGTGCCTGAATAAACAGAAAGGATTTCCTTCCCTCCAGCCCTCTAGCACTTTCTATCTGTGCCCTTCAATTAGAAATTCACCGTGCTCATAAAAGACACCCTTATTCCTGGGATTTCCTGCTTCCTGGGTCTCGCAAGCCTCCCGTCTTTCAGGAAGTGCACTACGGTGACCTCCACAAACACGTGAGTGTACAAAGAGCCTCTGAGCAAGAAGCCAGCCACAGTGGCTCTGGCCGGAGTTACACAACACAGCAGGTCCTGGCTGGAGACCCAGCCAGACGCATCATGAAGGGATCTGCACGCAGTCGTCAACCTTATCGAGCGTAACCTAAGAGCAGAATTAGCAATGGATGGACAGTCCTGCTTATGGGCTTCCAGTGGCTTGTCAACTTAAAAGTCAGGGCCATGCAGGTCCTGAGGACGAGGCGACTGCTCCCACTTAGTGAGGGCGTGTCGTGTGCTGGGCACACGCTCACACGCTTCAACTCGTCTGGTCCTCTCACATGCTATGAAGCAGACCTTTGGTTACCGTGACCGAGCAGCTCGGCCCCACTCACCTCGCTGTCCACCACCCCATTCCTGTCCCGGTGGGGAGACTCATACGCGTCCATCTGCTGCTTGGAGACCTTGGCCAGCTTCTCGGCCAGCTCCCTCCAGCGCTGCGCCACCTCGACGGCCGTGGTCAGAAGCACGAAGTCCTGGATGAGTCTGACCACCAGGCCCTGGCAGTCCATTTTCAGCAAGGCCTGCAGGGGAAGAGGCACAGCGTGAGGCAGAACGGCGGAGGCTCTGGCTTCACGCGGACTCCAGCACGACGACGGTGCAGAAACGGCAATGGGCTCTGGACCCTGCGTGTTCTACGGCGGTAACATGTGCCCTGAACCCTTTCCAGCACTGCTGGGACTCACAGGAAGAGATGCTGTGCAGGGGGTACCGGGCCAGTGTCTCCCTCCAAATTCACGTCTACGGAACCCCAGAAGGTCACCTTACTAGGAAACAGGGTCTTTGCAGATGTGATTAGTTAACATGAAGTCACACTGGAGTAGGGGGGCCACCAGTGACTAGCATGCAGAAGGCCATGTGAAGACAGAGGCAGAGACTGGAGTGATACAGCCACAAGCCAAGAACAGCTAGGACAGCCGGAGCCACCAGGAGCTGGAGAGAGGCCTGGAACAGACTCTCCCTCAGAGCCTCAGAAGGAACCAACCTTGCGACACCTTGTGGTCTCCTGAACTGTGAGCGACTGAATGTCTGTTCTGTTAGGTCCCCAGTGTGTGGTCATTTGTCTTGGCAGCCCCAGGGAACTAACAGGTGAGTAAGGATTACAGTTGTCCACCCTGTTCCCACTCCTGCTGGGGAACCTGGAGAGAACGTGAGGCCCTGCGCCCAGACAGACAACGGGACCTGAAGCTCGGGAGAGGACGAGAGGACATGCCCGACCTGCCGAGCCTGAAGTGCTGACATCAGCCAGACAGAGATGCAGAACGGTGGGCTCAGACGTGGTCTGGAACTCAGACTGAGACTGGGGACTCTTGGGGGGACCAGCCAGGGAGGATAAAGAAAACGGAAGAGGCCCCGGCTGAGACCGAGGGTGCACCACCAAGAACCACATCGACCAGATGAGAAGATCCTGAGGCATCGGCTTCCCCGGACTGTGAAACAACAGGAAGCATTTTCCAGAACCAACAAGACTGCTCCTTCGTCAAAGCTGCAAGAAATTTCTAGTGTGTCCTTAGGGCACGGATTACAATGGAGGGACTCAGGAGAGAGAAGAAGCCCGACTCCCAGGAAGGAGGCAAGAGGTCAGAGCTCTGCTTGGACAGTTCAGGTCCCAGCTCTGCCCTGAACAAGCACGTGGTGACCTGGAACCCAATTCCCACCCGGAAAAGGGCTGGATCAGACAGGCATCGAATGTAAGGCACAACTGCCTGATGTATTTGTTAATCAGATCAGCTAGCACGAGCTGGCAGGCCTGCTGGTCTGCAATGCGTGGTGTAAGTCACTTGCTGACCCAAGTCCAAGATCATGTCCCATGACACGTTCACTGCCAGTGTCATGCAAGTGACTCTGGCTTGATCCTAATCATAACTGAGGTCAAACGTGGTTGGCACGGGGCTTTGAGCCCGTCAGGGTGTCACGTGTGCTGGGTGTGACTTTCATCCGCCTCTCCTGTGCCACGGGAGGCACCTCTCACCCCACCCTCACCCACAGAGCTTTCTGCTGTCTGGCATGCACTCTGATGATACTGCGGCAGTGGGGAAAGACTTGAATCCCAGGAAAGCAGGCCTCAGAGGCGCCCCTAGAGATGGCTTCTGAGACTCCCTCAGACCCTCAGACAGGCGAGGACAAGATCAATGAGATGTTGAGAGTAGAAAAGTGTCCCCAGGCCTGGCGTTCCTTCCGTCTCTCTACGTGCTGGTTGAGCACCTGAGGTTGTCATTTTAGGACTCCAAAGAGTGTGTCAGAGTGTTATCCCCAGCCCCAAGCACACAGCTGGTGCAAGCATGCTGTTCAGCTGTTTCATGAGGACTGATGGGCAGCCATGAGCCAGCGCTCCTGCAGGTACAACCTGATGGGTTGCTCACTGTAAAGAGGGCACCGCTATTTTAGACTGAGTACTCTAACGTCCATGTTATGTTTATTTGGGGGAGGTAATAGCACAGAGGAATGGTGATTTTGGGGGTGACTCTCTGCATGCACCAGCCAGGTGGGTGACTCAAAACCCTTTTTANCCTTGGCCAGCTTCTCGGCCAGCTCCCTCCAGCGCTGCGCCACCTCGACGGCCGTGGTCAGGAGCACGAAGTCCTGGATGAGTCTGACCACCAGGCCCTGGCAGTCCATTTTCAGCAAGGCCTGCAGGGGAAGAGGCACAGCGTGAGGCAGAACGGCGGAGGCTCTGGCTTCACGCGGACTCCAGCACGACGACGGTGCAGAAACGGCAATGGGCTCTGGACCCTGCGTGTTCTACGGCGGTAACATGTGCCCTGAACCCTTTCCAGCACTGCTGGGACTCACAGGAAGAGATGCTGTGCAGGGGGTACCGGGCCAGTGTCTCCCTCCAAATTCACGTCTACGGAACCCCAGAAGGTCACCTTACTAGGAAACAGGGTCTTTGCAGATGTGATTAGTTAACATGAAGTCACACTGGAGTAGGGGGGCCACCAGTGGCTAGCGTGCAGAAGGCCATGTGAAGACAGAGGCAGAGACTGGAGTGATACAGCCACAAGCCAAGAACAGCTAGGACAGCCGGAGCCACCAGGAGCTGGAGAGAGGCCTGGAACAGACTCTCCCTCAGAGCCTCAGAAGGAACCAACCTTGCGACACCTTGTGGTCTCCTGAACTGTGAGCGACTGAACGTCTGTTCCGTCAGGTCCCCAGTGTGTGGTCATTTGTCTTGGCAGCCCCAGGGAACTAACAGGTGAGTAAGGATTACAGTTGTCCACCCTGTTCCCACTCCTGGCTGGGGAACCTGGAGAGAACGTGAGGCCCTGCGCCCAGACAGACAACGGGACCTGAAGCTCGGGAGAGGACGAGAGGACATGCCTGACCTGCCGAGCCTGAAGTGCTGACATCAGCCAGACAGAGATGCAGAACGGTGGGCTCAGACGTGGTCTGGAGCTCAGACTGAGACTGGGGACTCTTGGGGGGACCAGCCAGGGAGGATAAAGAAAACGGAAGAGGCCCCGGCTGAGACCCAGGGTACCACCAAGAACCACACCGACCAGATGAGAAGATCCTGAGGCGTCGGCTTCCCCAGACTGTGAAACAACAGGAAGCATTTTCCAGAACCAACAAGACTGCTCCTTCGTCAAAGCTGCAAGAAATTTCTAGTGTGTCCTTAGGGCAGGGATTACAATGGAGGGACTCAGGAGGGAGAAGAAGCCCGACTCCCAGGAAGGAGGCAAGAGGTCAGAGCTCTGCTTGGACGGTTCAGGTCCCAGCTCTGCCCTGAATAAGCACGTGGTGACCTGGGACCCAATTCCCACCCGGAAAAGGGCTGGATCAGACAGGCATTGAATTTAAGGCACAACTGCCTGATGTATTTGTTAATCAGATCAGCTAGCACGAGCTGGCAGGCCCGCTGGTCTGCAATGCGTGGTGTAAGTCACTTGCTGACCCAAGTCCAAGATCATGTCCCATGACACGTTCACTGCCAGTGTCATGCAAGTGACTCTGGCTTGATCCTAATCATAACTGAGGTCAAACGTGGTTGGCACGGGGCTTTGAGCCCGTCAGGGTGTCACGTGTGCTGGGTGTGACTTTCATCCACCTCTCCTGTGCTACGGGAGGCACCTCTCACCCCACCCTCACCCACAGAGCTTTCTGCTGTCTGGCATGCACTCTGATGATACTGCGGCAGTGGGGACAGACTTGAATCCCAGGAAAGCAGGCCTCAGAGGCGCCCCTAGAGATGGCTTCTGAGACTCCCTCAGACCCTCAGACAGGCGAGGACAAGATCAATGAGATGTTGAGAGTAGAAAAGTGTCCCCAGGCCTGGCGTTCCTTCCGTCTCTCTACGTGCTGGTTGAGCACCTGAGGTTGTCATTTTAGGACTCCAAAGAGTGTGTCAGAGTGTTATCCCCAGCCCCAAGCACACAGCTGGTGCAAGCATGCTGTTCAGCTGTTTCATGAGGACTGATGGGCAGCCATGAGCCAGCGCTCCTGCAGGTACAACCTGATGGGTTGCTCACTGTAAAGAGGGCACCGCTATTTTAGACTGAGTACTCTAACGTCCATGTTATGTTTATTTGGGGGAGGTAATAGCACAGAGGAATGGTGATTTTGGGGGTGACTCTCTGCATGCACCAGCCAGGTGGGTGACTCAAAACCCTTTTTAGCTGGACACCCCAGCACCTCCATCTCTGCAATTTAAAAAGAATCAGGAGTGATAGATGCATCAGACACCTCTCCAGATCTGAGAGCTGGAATTAGCCACAATAGATGTGGTGAGCCAGAATGCGGTGTGATGACCACGCAGTCCCTTTCTGTTGTTTTAATAAGCTACTGTGAACCGAGTACTTGCCCAGAGCCAGCACCGGGCTCACTGCTCCTCAGAACCACCTGGGAAGCAGGCTGAGTCTATCCCATTACACAGATGCAGCTGAGAGAGGACAGGTGGGGCTGCCACGCCTAATAGAGTCAGGGCCAGGTTTGCCCCCAGGCAGCCTGCCCAGGCCCCTACCCACTGGGTGTTTGTTTTACGTATAAGCACGAGACAGCCTCAGATACTGCCAGGGGCTCCTCCAGAGTCCCGCAGCTGGAAGTGACAGCGGTGAAAGCAGACCCAGGCTTCTGGGTGCTCGGGCCAGTGGCCTTTCCATTCTCTGACGCCCCCTGACATCAGGAAGTGAACCAAATAAAATACTGGTCTGGATCATGGCTCATTTAAACTATACAGGGCCAGCCCGTGGCTCACTTGGGAGAGTGTGGTGCTGACAACACCAAGTCAGGGGTGAAGATCCCCTTAACAGTCATCCTTAAAAAAATAAATAAATAAAATACACTATTTGTATACTTCAGAAAATGATCAGCGTCAATTTGAATTTTGATAGATTCGAGATAAATCATTTTTAAAAAAATAAAACGCTCACTACATCTGTGTTTCATAAGAAAATAGAACACATACAGATGTGTTCGTGGGGGGTGTGGGATGAATGGCAGACGGTCAGATTTAATGTTTTTGGCATGGTGGGAAGGGTCCCGGGCCCCATCTGCTGTCCTGGGAAGGGATGCAGAGTGACAACACAGTTGGACATTAAGCCACCTCACGTTCCCACCCAGCTTTTGCTCACAGCTTCCTGCCACATTCAACAAACGCATGTGCTGTGAGCTCGGCTGCCCGGCTCGAAGCTGGCTTTGTTCTCCAGGTACCAGAACCCGTCAGAGCCGCCCACTTCTGACTCGAGTCACTCCCAGGGTGAGCGATCAAAACCGCTCTCCCCACAGAGGCACTGGCCACCGGACACAAAGGTCCTGAGAAATGCAATCGGCTCTCTGGCCCCTGCCTGGCCATCGTTGGAAAGGAGAGTGCCTGGACACTGTGTGGGGACAGCCAGGGGCCCATTTCCACGGATGGTGGAGGAAGAGGTCAGCGCTTTCATTCTGAAGGCAGGATGAAGGCGTCTTCCATTCATTCACTTGGCTCCACTTACATGATTTTTCCTGAGCCCAACACAGGCTCAGTTTGCTACAAAGCCGCCCACACCATCCACAAGGGGCATTTTACACTTTTTTTTAAAGGAAAAATTTAGGTGCCCACCAGGTCTTAGTGACAGAAAAGTTCCACAGCAGGAGGCTCTAGCTCTGGGAACCTTCTCCCTGTAGCTTTGTCTTTCATTTTTATACCCACACAGACACACGAAGGGACACCAGAAAATACCCAATGCAACGATGCACGATGCTGATTTCAGCTGGAAATCTGTTCACTTGAGTGAACCATGATTTCAGTCAGGGTGACCAAACTTTTATCTATAAAGGGACAAATATGTTTGGCTTTATGGGCCACGTACGGTCTCTGTTGCAAGTGCTCAATTCTGCCAACGTGGCCTGAAAGCACAGACAATATGTAAATGAATGGGCACGGCTGTGTTCCGGCCAAACTCCATTTACCAGAACAGGAGGCCCATGGCCATGGTGTGCCCGCTCCCGTCTTAAGAGATATTCTTAGGAAAACGCGATGACGTACAATTTCAGTTTTCGCTGCATGTCCTCCCCGCCCATCCTGCATTCCCGAGATGCTGGAACGATGGCCGGGAACCTCCTGTGCACAGCACCTGGGACGGCGGGCCCAGCCTTCTCTTCTCCCACATTAACAGCCATGGCAGCAGAGCCTCCTGCTTTGGGGCCACCTGGAAGGAACCCCCAGGAACCTGTCCAATGCACAGCTCTCAGCTGCCTCCTCTTCTGCAGCACAAGGTGGCTCTTCTCCCAATTCACAGAGAATCCTCCACACGATTTCTTCCAGCCCGACTCTCCCCCATCCTCCCGCGACCCCCATTCCCATGAGCTTTCAGGCCTCCTTGGGTTTATTCCAGCCCCCACCCCTCTCCTGAAAATCACCCCCACCCTCAATTTGCAGCCTGCAGTAACCTTTGCTCTTTCTTTTCCGTAGAAACTTCTCTACAAAGCCCACGACACCCCTATTTCCTTACTTCCCACAATGTGACCAAAACGATCCTCGCTACAGCCATCACCAGTGATCCCGGTCACCACACCGAATGGCTCTGTTCTTGGTGGTGGGTCCAGTCACGACAGCTGGCCTAGGCCCCCATCAGGAAATGCCTCCTGGGCCTTAAGCCACCACGGCTGTTGCTGCCCCATCCCTGACTGCCATCTCCAGTGGACTCCCTGTCCCTCCCCACCATCAGGACAGAGACTGGGCATCCCACCGCAACGGTAGCCTGAAAATGAGGCAGAGTATCTTGCACAGAAAGCACACAGTTGAATGAAAATATCTGCAGTTCTCAAAAAGCGGGGCTCCTCAGGGTTCTGCCTGCTACCCCCTTCCCCCCAACACCCTCCACACATTCTCTCATGAGACGGTGACCCCTAGATCTGCACAGGTGCACACGCAGCTGGAGCCAGACCCTCTCCTTCACCCGGTGTTCTCATAACTTGCAGTACAAATACAGAGCTTTCCTTTTGAACACTCAGAAAACCCATTCCATAACCCACAAAGTATATTTAAAGACCCATCAAAGAACTTCGATGCCCTAAAAATAAAGATCTGAATAAGTCTCCAACTGAACTCTTTCAAATGTTTCAAACAGGTATGTTTAACATCTCCCAGGGAGGCGACAGCATGGAAACCAATCATTCAACAGAAAATAAAAACAAAAACCTACATCTGTTAA